GTCCATGCATTTGTTACTTCTAGGCTGGATTACTGCAATTCCTTATTATCAGGCTGCTCGAAAAAGTCCATTAAGACTCTTCAGCTGATCCAGAATGCTGCAGCTCGTGTTCTGACAGGAACCAGGAAAAGAGATCACATTTCTCCTGTTTTAGCTTCTTTGCATTGGCTTCCAGTAAAATCCAGAATAGAATTTAAAATCATTCTTCTTAACTACAAAGCTCTTAATGGTCAGGCACCATCTTATTTAAAGAGCTCATAGTACCTTACTACCCCACCAGAGCACTGCGCTCCCAGAATGCAGGGTTACTTGTGGTTCCTAGAGTCTCCAAAAGTAGACTAGGAGCCAGAGCGTTCAGCTATCAAGCTCCTCTCCTGTGGAACCAGGTTCCAGTTTGGGTTCAGGAGGCAGACACCATCTCCACATTTAAGAGTAGGCTTAAGACTTTCCTCTTTGATAAAGCTTATAGTTAGGGCTGGCTCAGGTAGTCCTGAACCATCCCTTAGTTATGCTGCTATAGGCGTAGACTGCCGGGGGATTTCCCATGATGCACTGAGCTCCTCTCTCCTCTACTTTCTCTCCCTCTGTATGCAACCTCATCCCATTATTGCATGTTACTAACACAACTTCTCCCCTTTCTGGTAGTCTTGTGCTTTCTCGTCTCTCCTCTCTCCTCCTATCACTTCCTGCAGGTTTTCTGGCTCTGGAGCTGTGGAGTCTGGATCTGTGGCTGCGGGTCACCTGCTGCCCCCGTGTTCCTGCTCGACACCCTCTGCTGCAACGACTATTGTTGCTAGTCTTATTGTTATTATTGTTATTATAATCATTAACATTACGATGGTTACCATTAACACTACTATAAATATCTGTACCATTTTTCATTTAGTCTATAGCAACATTACCTTCACTGTCTGTACCTCTGTGTGTATATTGTGTAGGCTCTCTCTCTCTCTCTCTCTCTCTCTCTCTCTCTCTCTCTCTCTCACCCCAACCGGTCGAGGCAGATGGCCGCCCACCCTGAGCCATGGTTCTGCTCGAGGTTTCTGCCTCTTAAAAGGGAGTTTTTCCTTGCCTCTGTCGCCTAGTGCTGCTCTTGGTGGGAACTGCTGGGCTTCTGTAAATATCATCATAGAGTACGGTCTAGACCTGCTCTTTTATGAAAAGCGCTGTGAGATAACTGTTGTTGTGATTTGGCGCTATATAAATAAAATTGAATTGAATTGAATTGAACTATTACAAGTGCGTTAGAGAGAGTGCTATACTGTGCTGTGATTGGCCAGCTGCGGGGCGTGACTCAGAGAGACCTCTGTCAAAAAACACTTCTCTGCCTCTGTGAATCAACGGACGGGACAGTGATGTACAAAGTACATTCAGAAGCATATATCTACATGAATATACATTAGGTACATAAACAAAGTGGTACAAGTATTTTCAGGCGAGAGACCTCAAGTCTGCGACACATCTGTGAATATGAAGTTATGAAGTGTTGAGTTCAGTCAAGTCTGACAGAAACAGAAGATTTATCTGAACTTTCGATTTGCTGTTTGATTTAAACTTCACTGTCTTCAGATACACATGAATAAAAGAGCAGCAGTCTGTTTTTGTTAGTTTCCACACACCAGCAGTGCAAACCTGAACACACTTTCTGATTCAGACTGAGACGTGAGTGGTCAAGTTAAAATGAGCTCGTTGCTGATTCATACCAAACTCTTCCCTCTGAAAGTCACGCCACTTTGTTCTCTGATTGCAGACGCTCAGACATTGAGAGTTCACTTTCCTCTCTGAGCTCAGCTGTTTAGGTTTAGCTTCCAGCTCAACCTCATCGACCTCGACCTCAAAATCCAAGATGGCTGCTCTGAGCTGAATCAACGGTAGTGAAAGCTGTAGTAATATAATGTTTATCACACTTCAGCCTTATTTGTGTCTCACACAGTCCTCTCCAACTTCAACATGTTGCTATGGTGTTTGAATGTGTGAAATATATGTGTTGTTATCAACTGGTGCTGACATTGGTTAGAGGCGTCCATCTTGGTTTTCTGACTTAAATCTGCTGTTGTACTGGAAATGGTCAACTTGGGTGTGACATCATTCCCAGCACCGACTTTTCAAGGTTAATGGCACTCAGCATCAGCAAAGCAAAGAGGTGGAGCTGAGGCAGCCGAATGAAGCCTTGTTGCTGCAGCTAGCCACCTGTGAGGTCACTCACCTGTCACTCAAAGAGGCAAAAGCCTTAATTATGCATAACTTTACGCCTTAAAGTAATTTAAACTAATACCCCTGTGAGCAACACTAATCTCAGGACACATGGTGTTTCACATGAAGCACTGCAGAGTCAACACGGCCCTCTGCTGGTCTCAGAGTGATGCTGCTTCTGTCACCAGGCTGACTGGGACTGCACTGAGCATGTGCAGCTCTACAACAGCCAAACAACTGATGAACATTTCTGCTACATGCTGCACTTTGTACCGAGACCTGCCTTCAGTGAGGAAGATGCAGGGAGAAGCTGAATGGATGCAGAGGGAGTTGGAAGGAGACCTGAGACTGAAACAGCGATGATGATGTTCACTGGTTCCTTTTTCCACTCACAATAATCACAACTACTGGCACTTTCTTAGCTTCACTCCTAATACAAGCAAACAGAGCTGCTGTAGGGCGCCGCCCTCTGTTGGAAAGTGTAGTTTATTTTAGTTATTTCAAATTACAGCCATTAATTATTTAAATCTTATTTAAAACGTGTGGTATTTAAATATAAATCATTATGGAAATGTACACTGTTATACGAGCTGTGCACTCACTACTTTACATCGTAGCAAAGTGTAATTTCTTCAGTGTTGTCACATGGAATCTAAAATGTGTAACAGGTGAGTTTCATGCTACAAAAGCCAAAAGAAACATGAAAAAGTAACAGAGATGGAATATATATGCTACTTTAATAACATTAGTCTTTAATAATACACTGGTTAAATTAAACCTAAGTTATACATGAAATACACTCCAACTCATCTGCTGGCCCGCATGAACAATTCTGTGGTCGACAGTTAACTCTTGTGGCAAAACGGTGTAACTTAAAACTGGACATGGTGAAACACTGCAGATAGAGTAGGACAAAATCAGGGCTTCACGTTTGCATTCAGCGGAGATGTGTAACAGTCAGTGTAACATATGGTGTTATTATGTGTAGCGTCAGAGTGCTTATGACGTCATGACGTAAAGGGAGGGAGACAGAAGTCGAAATAAAGAAGCGTCCTTGAAGGAACAGCAGTGACTCATAGGCCTAATAAGCCTGTATATAACAGGGTACATTTTTTAAAATTTGGACAAATACTTGTTCCATTTGCTTTTTTATGTTAGGTTCACTGAGATTAATTATGATTACAATGAGATTGGCTTCTAAGTTGTTTTATTTACATTTTAAAAGCTTTGGTTTAAAAGGAACTATGGGATTTTGGCATGTCCCTAGTGTTGATCATTCAACTTAGATCTAAAAGAAAACCTTATAAAAACACATGTATTTTAAAATATTTAATTATTATGTAATTTTCCTGATCAAAATCAAAAGTTTTTATCAAAATTGTTAACATAAAAGAACTCCAGCTTAGAGAAACAAACACTAACATAAAATCGCGACAGTTTGGAAGCTTATTAAAACATTTCCAGCCAACAAGAGCTGCAGATCACAAAACTAAGGCAATGAAAATTTGATTAATTTCACTTAAAAACTTAAATAAGGCCTGTAGTCTGAACTTCTACCACCCCAGAAACTGAATTACGAGCAGCTGTCCCGACTCCCGTCCTGTTTGTACTGAATATTAAACTAAACATTAGTTTTGATTTTAAAACATTACTGATCGTTGTGTAGTTCTCAGACTACAGGCTGCAGGGCATGGTGCACATTGTGTCAACAGTGTTGTTATACTAGCAACTCGCGTGCTCTTTTCCCTTCAAGCGCAAGTGGAAGTTACAGTCACGAGGACAGGGGAGTGTGGCCTACAGGCAGCCAGAGAAAAGGACAGATCTGACAGGCAACACTAACATGAGAAGTTTTATGTCAAACACCAAACTGAGAGTTCAAACAGGCCTAAATGTAGGCTGCTGTTTCTGCAGACAGACAGATGCAGTGAAACAGTTTGTCACGTGGAAACTCTGCAGGACGCTCACTTTGTGTCTTTGTTTCTTTAGGTCTCTCTCACTTGCTCTGTCTCACCCCCAACCGGTCCAGGCTTGAGCCGTGGTTCTGCTCGAGGTTTCTGCCTCTTAAAAGGACGTTTTTCCTTGCCTCTGTCGCCTAGTGCTGCTATTGGTGGGAACTGCCTTAAAGCAGAGGAAACAAGTGAGCAAGCAATCAGTCTGGTACAAGAACTCATTGCAGTAACGCATTACAGTGTCAGCATCTGTGAAGTCAACTTATTGATACTGCTGAAAGGCTGGCAATACATAACATGAGCCTACACGCTGCAACACTGTCCTCACTCTGATCATTTTACCTCGTGTGTGGGTCTCAGTTATTGTTGACTGTTCAAGACATGGCCTAGACATATTAGCATGTTAAGGCATAAGAGAGAAACGGGCAAATGGCACCTTGCAGGGTGATCGGTGCCCTTTATCCATCATGGTTAGTGATTTCTTTTTCTTATTGTAGAAAAGTAAAACACTTAATAGCACATTTTGACATTCTGAAACATAAAAAGGTGTTGAAACATTATCAGATTACAGCAAAGCCAAAAGAAAACAAACCAAAACAAACAAGGAGAATCACAAATGAGTCCAATAAAGAGTTCCTGGACATCCCTGTCTGTCATGTATTGTGAGGATTTTGCTAAACTGGATTTTATCGTTTCAGTTTGAGAACGTGCGTCGCTTTAAATACTACTGCCGCAAGGAATTGTGGGACGGCAGCCCAAGTCTGATGAAAGCCTCTGTAAGTGTGACATTAGCAGTGGACCAGAACGAAACAAAAAAAAGGCCCAAAAGAAGAGAGACATGGCCAAAATGACATCAGATCAGTTCAGATAAGCTACAGTTTATTATCACTTTCAGATGGACAGAAACAGGAAGACAGTTAGAAAACAAAAAACTAACTTTTGTATATATGAAGTTAAAATTATTATACATTTACAAACAGAAGAACAATAAAGAAGCAGCTTTAACAGCTTTCAAATTAAAATCTTTAGACCATTAATGTCTCCAACAAATTTACATTCACAAATCATTGAAATAAGTTTTTGTTACATCTGTTGCATTCAAAGATTCTTTTATTAAGTCAGTGTGATTAAATATGTTTCACAGTTTCAAGTTTTGTTAATTATAATGTATTATAATGAATTCAGGTGAGTAAACGTCCAGCTGAACATTGACGTCATGCCTCACTTCACAGCATGCATTAAAGTTAAAACCCTTGTGAAATTTATCTACAGTAAAAATAAATCAGTAAGTAAACCAGCTGTTCAAAGTCAGTGACGACGTCGTCCTCCAGGTTCTCTTTGGCTCCGAGTTATATCAGGTGCTTTGACTACAGGACTAGTCTTGTTGTTGTTCTACATTTTCAAGAGTCCTCACAGTTTAGTCAACTCCTCTGCATAAATCACACAAAACTCCTTTAAATGTAATTTGCTTCAAATCCTTGCAAACACCACAAGCCTTTAACACGACCCATCACCGGCTTCTTATAGAAAAGGAAATAGTATGAGTGGAATATCTAGATTATAAATATAATGTATCATTAACTGAGACACTCACACCTCTCTCCACCTGGTTTCAACAGGTTTGGTTTGTCTGCTGACATTTCAGACATCCGTGGCTGTTTAAAGCTGGTTAATCTGTTCATGAAGCTGCTGTGGAGTTTATATTGTCTCTAGATCTCTGTGCTGCCTTATTGATGCTTTATTCTGCTGTTTAAGTAGCAGCTTATTAAATGTAGCTTAATGAAGCGTGTTGCACCTGCTGCAGTGTCCGCAGCTCTTTTTATTTACTGTCAGACATTTTTGTTAGCTTTGTTAGCTTTGCTGCGGCGGTCAATGTGTGTGCGGTAGAGGAGGAACAGACGGAGCGTTTGTGTGAATAGAGAGAAACGGGTCAGCACCTCGTTCAGCAGTAAATGTACAGTAGAGGTTACAGAGGCTGGTGAATAAAGACTGCAGCTTCTCAGGACTAAAGAGGAGCTCCTGTGTGTTGCTGCCAACTGTTGAAGAGTGAAGGAGGTTCGCCCTAAAGTTAGCACTGACTTCAGCCCTGGAGATAAACAGTCACTCCTGCGCTTCCCAACTCTTATCAGTCACTAGTTTTTTACTCTGTTTTGGATCTGCGTTTGTGAGCTTACACATATTGTTCCGTTTGATGATGTTTGTTCACTAATTGTAACTATTGAAGCTCCTCTCGATTTTCATACCGCTAAATAAACGAGACTCCGTGTCTTAGGGCACTTTCACACCTGCCCCCTTCGTTTGGGTGAATGCAGAAATCGCACTCGGGTGTGCACCAAAAGCAGTAGTGGACTGGTAATCATGGCAATGTGCGTTCATGAGTTTGTTCATCAATAAACTCACTGCAGAATCGCATACTATCCCTTTAATGCTCTTTATTTTGAAGCTTAAATTGAAAAGTCAAATCACGTAATAGAATTCGCTCATTTAGAAGAGTTGCAATTGCTACATATGTCAGAGGTTACATGTCTCTGGAGAGAGAGTAGTGGTTATGAGTCTTTGCTTTGGTCCCAAAATAAATTGCACCTCCGCAGCACCACGGTTGTTCAGACGAAAAGAGTTAGTCCGGATCAAACTGAACCACGGTTTGATTTGTTTCTGGGGTGAACAAATTTTTTTGGATGGTTGAGACTTTCAGACCACTAACAGGAAGTTGAGTGGTTGCCGTGTAAAGCGGAAACAAATGCACGGTAAAATGCATTAAAGGAAGGACACAATCTTTCTCGTGACAGATCATCTTTTGAAACGGACGGCCGCTATGGAAGCAAACTGACACTCGTGTCGTCGGGCACTCCTTCTTAAATTGATCTACTTTTCACTTGTATCTGAGTGCAGTTTAAGTAATTTTCATTTTACTTTAATATTGTGGTAATTCACCATCCCTGGCAAAGGGTGGATTATTTGAATTGGATAGCAGTCTGACCCTTTCATGCGACCCGACCAGGAACTGTGCTACAGATAAAATAACTCTCAGGATCAACGCAAACCACTTTTTTTTTTGCATTGATGAGCAGACCATCATGGTCGAGAGCCTCAACCGCCAGATTTACACATTCACACCCACAGAAAGTCTGAAATGTTGAATATATGAAACATGTGGTGGAAAGAGATCAGATGACCTGGTTGTTCACTGCTTCATCAGCAGCAGGCTGTTCGGATTTCTTGTTCTTATCTCTTTTATATTTCCAGCCAACAGCCAATCCAACAGCAGCTAAACAAACCAGAACAAAACCTGCTACAGATCCGTAGTAAAGACCGTAGTTTCCCTCCTCGACGTCTCCGCTGTTGGAACCTGAAGATCAAAGTGCATATTAGTCAGGAAATGAGTGAACAGTGGAACAGCCTCCATTTACTCTTCTATATCTTCTATATTCCTCATGTTTGACTCTCAGAATCAACATGGAATAAAGTGCAGCTACAACATGGCACACAGACACACTGACCTCCACAAACTCACCTGAAACCTCCAGCTGGATGATTCTGATTGGCTCACTCTCAATGATGGCTCTCTTAATTCTTGAAGAAACTCCTGTTGCAACTCGACACTCGTATGTTCCAGTGTCGTTGCTGTTCACGTTCTTCAGAAGTAAAGACACGTCTCCGTCCTTCAGCTCTCTGTCCACCAGCTGCACCCGGCCTTTAAACAATGAATGCTGGAGGGCTGGATCTGTGTGTCCATCTCTGTAAAAGAGGACGGTCTCTGGTGGCTCCAGGTCAGGTCTGCTCCACTCTGCAGCTCTGATGAAGGCTTCACCAGCCTGACATGGCAGAACAACATCATCTCCAGGTTTCACTTGTACCACATCTAAAAACAATAAAAACATCCAGAGAGAAATATAATTACATTTCAAAAGGACGATCTATATCGCTTGATGATAGAAAAACGTCTGTCATTTACAATTATGCGCCAACGTTTATTTCCTTGTGTTCCACACATCACGGTAATATTATCGAGGGGACTGCACCGCGTTGAAGTTGGTTTGAAATTGGTTATTTGACAGACACATGTGCCAGTGTTGCAGGAAAGACATTTCCCTCTTTGGGGTGGTCTGCAAGATGTCCGAGTGGAAAAGCTTCCATGACCTTTGGTTCGCTCACAGCCATAGACTGCATATAAAAAGCTCATGTTTGCTGCCACAGAACATAAATAAAAGTCCCTTTTTACGTTACAGCATCTCCTCCTCCAACATTACACAGCAGACCTGTGCCCTGACGGTGAGAAGCTAAAGCAGCTAGTTAGCAGCTAAAGCTAACTTACCATACAACAGTAATTAAATTAAAGCGATCCTATGGTCGGCGCTTCTTCTTCTTCTCTGGGTTTTATGGCGGATTGCAACCAACTTGTTCAGGTTCATACCGCCACCTACTGAACCGGAGTGTGTAATGTCAAGGTTTTAGTACTTCAGGTTACAGGTTCAGTGAACCAAAAGGTAAATAAATAAAAACAAAACTCAACAATAACAAAAAAAAAAACAAGGCTATATGTTATGATCTAATCCTGTAGATCTGAGAAATTTAAAGAGAGCTTTGCAGCTCTCCCTTGTTTCCTCACTCATCCCTAAAATCCTGTCTAAATGCCATCCCCCCCTACTAATTCATCTATCTTGTCACGTAAGATGTTCCTCTATATTTACTACACTTCATGATGACATGCTCGACATTTTCAGGAACATTACAAACCTCACATTTATCAGACACACATTTTGCCATTAAATAAAGCGTTGATTTTAACCCAGTATGTCCAAACCTTAATCTTGAAATACGTCCCTCACTGCTTTTCTAATGAATGATTTGGCCTCTCCTTTTCAAAGGGAACTTTCCTTATTTCATCTTTTAATCTCAACGCTATCTTTGCAATCTCGTCTGCTTTCTCATTCCCATCAACACAAACATGAGCAGGGACCCAAACAAACTGCCAAGCACTGACTGCAATGGCTGCGATTTGCTCCGCCGCCTGTAGGACTGAGTCCTAAAGGTGTGATGGTGTTATTTACGGTTAACACTGAACCGCTTCTTTCTACAGGCATGTGGTCTTTAAATGACACTATGATAGGAAAAATATGTTTTATTGTTTTTTTTTTTTTTATGATGTCTGCACTTTAAAACAAATATTATCTCATAAATCGCTTCATTATTTTAGCAAAAGTAAATTCTATAACCGTAAACCTTTATTTAAAGTATCCATGAGTTAATTGCAACAATACATAAACTATTCAGCACTCTTCAAATACACACACACACACACCCACACACACACCCCTTAAATGCCAGAACCGCTGATTAATTTTTTAAAAATTACTTTTATATTATATACACACACGCGCGCACAAAGAGACAGCTCACCTCCAGATACAGAGCCCAGTGAGAGGATCAATAAACAGGAGAAAGCCATCAGAGTCATGTCGTCCGGGACAGAGAGCAGATCACAGCCGCATTGGATAAGAAAGATTTTGGTGTGAACATCCGAGCGCGATCACTTCCTGTTCAGGGCGGAGCTTCAACTAAAGTCTGACTGGCTGGTTTCGTTGCCTTCGATTCAGGGCGGAGCCTCAACTAAAGTCTGACTGGCTGGTTTCGTTGCCTTCGATTCAGGGCGGAGCTTCAACTAAAGTCTGTTCTGGCTGGTTTCGTTGTGACGGGTGGCGTTAGCCAATCAGAGGTAGGAATGGACGCAAAAGCTGCTGTCCATCAAGTGAGAGGAGACGAGAAGCTTCTTTAACAGTAACGACACTCCGGTTTCCAAATCCGCCATGTTCAAGCTACACCAAGTAATATTTTAAAGCAAATGTGAATGATCCTGTCCAACAAGCTGCTTAATGTATTCATTCTACTGTTTAGACAAACAAACAGCTATAAACTATTTAGGCCTCAGCGTCCTTTTGAAACTAGAATCTGCGCCACTTCTAGAAATCTGCGGCCTAAAAGAGAATAAATGTTGTATTTGCGTCGTGGCCGGTCACTAAACCGACGTACTCACCTACACGTCGTCCCTTCAGGTAGAAACTGGTGCTTTCTGAGGAAAAAGCTGCTTCTTAGCGACGTCCGGATCCCTCTGCTCGTCTCGGCAGCCATTTTCGTAACGTACAAACCCGCAGAGCTCAGATCCAGACGGGGCTGAATGCTGCGTTTGAAAGGCACGTTGCTCCTTCTGCTGCTCCGTTTAACTCTCCACACCGCACGAAGTGAACCAGTACGGGTCTACTGGTCTACTGGTCTACTGGTCTACATTAAGACAGAGTCGCGGCATCTCCGTTCACTCCAATCGACCAGTTTTTCGCAGCAGTGGCGGATCGCGGAGGTCTGAATACTTCCCGGAAGTTTGCATCAAATGCCAGCAGCGCAGTGGAGCTTCAGTAGAAAACGCTGTGCGGGATGCACGTTTGAAAGATAAGACGTGTAAAAAAATATGAGATTATATGTTATTAGCACAATTGAATCAATTTAACATGTGTGTTAAAAGATATTAGTGGACTTCCCCAACTAAATTAGAAGATTTAGACATTAACGGTTAACAAATTAACATACTGGCAATAGATAAAGTTTGCAGCGCACAATATAAACAGGGGCAGCTTATTGATTTATTTTAAAATACATACATTTTTTGGGGGGGTTGGATTTAATTTTATTTAAATATATTAGTGATGCATGTATGAATAAAAGATTTCAAAACATTATTTATTTGGGGAGAATTATCCCTAACAGTAAAAGTAGTACACCAGCATATTATAAAAACAATCTTCATTAATTATATTAGAGCAGTAGAGTCTGCGAGGTGGAGGAGCAGTGACGTTAAAGAGTACTGAGCGGTGAGATGGAAAACAACACGATTGTAAATGCCTTTATAATATACCATTTATAAGAAATCAAACCTGCAATATTTTATCATTTTCTTTCCCTTCTCTCTGTGTCTGCATCCTTTCTTAGCTTATGAGCTTATTGTCCACACAACAATTCAGGTTTATTTACAGACATTCTTACTGGTGAACACTCAATTCTTACTGGATATGTTTAGTCTAATTACATAATTACTTTGTATAAATTCAGATCACATCATCATCAGTGTTGCTGTGTTTGAAAAAATCAAAACTATCCAGTAACTGATGCCAACATCAGCAGCAAAAGCTGTTAATGACGTCCAAAACTCAACAATTCATAACTTTCTCAATCAAAACCGCTGTTCACAACAAAGGTTGAATTGAGAGCAACTGGACTTTTTCTGAAACGTCCAGATGATCCTGATTCACCTTTTCTTGGAGAAACATGACCTGGATGAATCTTTACGGATGTGTAGGTTTGTCTAACCTTCTCTCTCTTATTCTCCCTCTCAGCACAAGAATCACAGTGGAGCCTGAAGATGATCTGCAGTGATGTTTTTAATAAACAAACATAAAGCCAGTGATGTGTTCTTTCTTTGTGGAAAAAGTACCTCACATGTTTTTATTACTAGCCTCTTTAGTGATTGTAAGGTTGCTCCTGTTGACCTGAGTCAACCATTTTTTCCTCCTCTCCATGTCAGCTGGGAAACCAAACTTTCATACTCCTTTTTCTGACCGACTGCAGCAGAATCTCCACACAGCACAATAAGACAGTTCACAGACACAAACCACTTAACATGCTGTTGTCTGAGTTTACTGGAGATTTATTAAATTAATACATGACAATCATTGATGGTCACCTGTCTGTTCCAACTGAAGTCATAAAGATTACATTAGTCATTAAGATCAATTAACCCTGGTACCGTGGGGTTACTAAAAGGTATGTTAGCAAAGTAAATCGTGAAATAAACAGGCTAACTGCTGTCCTGAACTACATATAACATTAGTTCACTTGTCTTAATCTGAAGTTACAGGTCACCAATGGCCTTACAAATGTTTCATTCTCCAACAGCCTAACAGGTATTATTTTATTAGTTATTGTTTTTATTTCAGTTAGCTAAAGTGTTTTTTTTTCCACATCCAGTGCTACTTTAGTTTTACTAAAAAACGTTAGTTTAGTTTTAGTCTATTATCACCTTTCTAACTGCATGGTACATGGGCTACTTTTATTTTGAAGGTTTTACCGGTTCCTGGCCCTTCTAAAACAGGAATAGACCACGTGACTTGTTTTTGGTTTATAACGAGAAACGAAAGTTCACAGACTTTCTTCATTATTTGTTCAAAAAGGAACAACAATAAAATAAATTGCCAAAAAACGGACTGATTTTAATTGTTTTTTTGATTCTAACACCAAAAACGGTTATTTGGTTTTTCATTTTGAAACAAAAAACAGATATTTTCGTTTTTGTATTACAAACGAGTTACGGATTATCCAGAGATAACCAGACCCTGGGCTCAGGAGCGGAGCACTGGGGGAATTCAGAGTCGATAGCAGGGACTCTCTGAGACGACACCCAAACCAGTCCAGCCACACCAGGAGCGCTCAGTAGGCGCGGTTCTTGGCCCAGAGCCTTCTCAAAGCGGGCTCGCGCGTCCAGCCCCTCGTGCCAATCCTCAGCACTTAAGTCCCAAAAGAGATTGTCCGCGATGGTCCTCACCTGGCACAGGTCCTCTGGGGAAGGGCTAATGTCCGCTGGGTCCATCTCCGGTCCGGCACAACGATCGCAGAGCGCAGGCCGAGATTACGGCGCAGAGGCGGGGACATGCTCGGAGACATGCTCGGGGACATGCTCGGGGACTCCTTCGCGGGCAGAGGGGATAAGGCGTGGAGGAAGCTAGCGTCCGAAGGGGGGACAAAAACTGTCGGGCCCCGGCAAGAAAAGCCTCCCTAAGGCTGTCGCTGATGGCACCACAGGCCCCTCAGCGTAATGCTGGGTCCACGTTGGCTTGGTCTTTCCGTTACGGGTGTGGTGTGGGAGACAGAGAGGACCCAAATGCAGCCACAACAAAAACAATCTAAAAGACTACGAGGAGTTGTTCTCTGGATTAAGATGTTTGCCAGGGAAACACCAGATCCAGATTGATCCAGCTGTTGCAGCACTCGTGCACGCCCAGAGGAAAAATTCCAGTAGCTTTCAGGGAAAAAGAAGATGGAAGAGATGGGAGTCATAACAAGACAAACCGAACCGACACACTGGGGGAACAGGGAGGTGACAGAAACTGAAATAAGACCAGGATGTGCGTGGATCCACAAGATCTCAACAGGGCCATCAAAAGAGAGCGCACAGAGGCTGTCTCCCTCATGTCTAATGCAAAGTACGTCTCCGTGCTGGATGTCAGTCAAGGTTTCTGGCAGATCAAGCTGGATGAGGAAAGTTTCATATGTTGTACTTTTAACACACCTACAGGGAGATGCTGTTTCCTCCGTCTACCAGACCATGGGAGAAGACTGGCACCCATCTCTTTCACTGCAAGCGTGCAGAATATCTGCTTCGACTCGAAGTTGAAATATCCTGAGATCCCAAAGCCAAGTGAAGCAACCAGCCGGGGTGTCAAGAACATGTTGAAAAAAGGCAGGAAGCAGCAAGTGACCCGAACATTTCACTACCTGAATACCTCAACACACCAACGAGGGGGCGTGCACTGCAAAAACTACAATCTAAGTAAGATTAATTATCTTAATTGAAGGCAAAATATACTTGTTTTTTTGTCTGATAATTTTGCTTATTTTAAGTAATATTTCCCCCATTTTATTGCTTTTTTCCCCTTGTTTTTGAGAGCTCAGGTTTTTGTTCTCTCCCTCACAGCTGCTGACGGGCCAACTTCCACAACTCACTCCTTCCTTAGACGGAAGTTCAGAAAAAGTTTTAACGGCAGCTTGTTGGGGGGGACTTAAAATAGTAATAATAAATACATACATGCAAAATTAAATAAGTGACTTTGGAAATAAATAAAAAGAAAAAACATGTTGATATAATGCATAAATATATAAATAAATGTTTTAAATAATGTATTTAAAAGAGACGGCTTCTTTGTTAATTTCATACGAGACCATCAGACGGTCCTTTTCCCTTTCCTGCTCTGCTCTTCTGGGTTTTCTCTTTATTCCTCTGGTGGGGTTATTTGGCCACAGTGCACAGTTGGTTTAACTCATCTCAAGTACAGCTTTACATGTATTGTTGAAGTTATGTAGTAACTTAATTTGGTTTCCAGATATTGCTCTGTGTAGATGCAGTGAAGGCCTCAAACTGAACTGTCAGACAGAGTTGGCCTTGAGGACACCAGAGGGAACTTAAGTCGACGCTGGGACTTAAAAAATAAAAACTTTGTGGTCAGAAACATAAATTAGACAGAGAGACCAACACTTATACGAATTCAACCAGGTGCGAAGGACACGTGAGGACGGCCCGCCACACTCCTCAGAGCAGAGTGATGACACAAGCTGCTGATGATGGAAAAGAGTTTAATACTCAGTCGGGGGAAGATTCAAGAGGCAGTTGAGAGATAATCACGAGCTGGTGTTTTAAATGTTTTGATTAATTAGAAGTACACACTTTCTTCCCAATGCCCACATGCAGTATGTCTTCCAGTGTTTACATACAAATTCTGAAGGAAATCTGACGTTTAACATTTTGAGCTGTGGTGTGTTAAGCGTGAGACGCGATCCTCCATCTGAATCTCTCTCTGTCGATATGATCAAAGAACCAAATGTGTCCTGAATTCAACATGAAGCAAAACAATAACAACTCAAGTTTCCAAATGTAAAAACATAAAAATATTTATTTGTGTCCCACAATCTGCTTTATAAATACAGATAAAAACAATCAGACCTGGTATTATTCTCAGTAAACTTTGTTCTCCAGTGAGTTATTTATCTTAAGCTTTAAATATAAAATAAATAAGTATTTCTAAGAGACAGCATTACAATACAACACAATTGCCAAAATATATATTAAATCTATCTTTAGCTGTGATCTGACACACGGGAAGCGATTTATGGGCCTTGTAATTCATTTTCAAAGACAGTCGAGAGCGACGAGTGGGCGTGCGACCCCATGGGGGCCAAGCGACTACGCAGGCGGAGCGTCGCCCCCCCCCTTGAAGAGACCTTCAAGCTGGTCTTTAATTAAAGAGTCAAGTCATCATTTACTGAGAGCAAATTTTAACAGATCTGCTTTTTACTTTTATCTTTTACTTAAGCGGAATATTGTTGTACTTTTTAATCCCAGGCCAACGGGGGCCATTTGAATTGCCTTTAGTCTGACCCGCCTCTGGGACCAATTTCCCAGGAGAGACCAAACCAGGAGCTGATCTGCAGTCGAAACAGTCACACAAGCCCCTCCACCACGTTAAGGTAGCAATCCATGAAGGGCGAAATGTCTGTTTGCACTGATGAAGCAGATCAACATGGTGAAGATCTTCAAACGCCAGATTTACACCTTCACACCCACAGAAGGAATGAAAATCATGTTGAATGTATGAAACACATATTGACAAGTGGAAAGAGTCTGTGACAAGTCAGAGTAACTGGTCGTTCACTGCTTCAGCAGCAGCAGACTGTTCTGGTTTCTTGTCTGCATTTCTTTTATATTTCCAGCCAACAGCCAATCCAACAGCAGCTAAACAAACCAGAACAAAAGCTGCTACAGATCCGTAGTAAATGTCTGTAGTTTCCCTCCTCGACGTCTCCGCTGTTGGACCCTGAAGATCAAAGTGCATATTAGTCAGGAAATGAGTGAACAGTGGAACAGCCTCCATTTACTCTTCTATATCTTCTATATTCCTCATGTTTGACTCTCAGAATCAACATGGAATAAAGTGCAGCTACAACATGGCACACAGACACACTGACCTCCACAAACTCACCTGAAACCTCCAGCTGGATGATTCTGATTGGCTTAGTCTTGATGATGGCTCTCTTACGTCTTGATCCTTCTGTTGCAACTCGGCACTCGTATGTTCCAGCGTTGTTCCTGCTCACGTTCTTCAGAAGTAAAGACACGTTCCGTCCTTCAGCTCTCTGTCCAGCAGCTGCACCTGGTCCTTAAAGGATGGATGCTGGAGGGTTTCATCTGAGCGTCCATCTCTGTAAAGGAGGACGTACTCTGGCTCCAGGTCAGTTCTGGTCCACTCTACGCCTCTGATGGAGACGTTACCAGCCTGACATGGCAGAATGACATCATCTCCAGGTTTCACTCGTACCACATCTAAAAACATCAGAGAGAAAAAGTAATTACATTTCTTTGCTTCAACAGAAGAACCTGAGATCACGGGAACTAGAGGTGTGAATCTTCAGACGCGTCACGATCCGATTACGATTCAGAGGGCTGCGGCGTGAATATAAAATGTTTAGTGTTTATTTTCTATACAGGATTTATTTTTTCTCACTGTGTGACTTAGTAATGTTACAGCAAAGTTATGACATGTGGCTACTTTCTAACGTTACTTCCTATAAATGCAGCGAACGTTACAAAGCTGTTAAAGTACGTAGTGTTGGTGTCCTGCTCAGCTTCCAGACCAGAGTCTGATAAGTCTTAAGAAAACTCAAGAATTTAAATTAACTTTTGGGTATTGACCAAAATAACTTAATTATTAATCACAATGATTGTGTGTACCAAATACAGACTAATGTGAGAATTAATATGCACATGTTTGAAACTTTATTGATCCCATGATTTCAACTACATTTTGATGTTCATAAATATTAACATTTATGTAAAGGCCCTAAATATATTTTTAGCAGTGAAGCTAACACCATTCATAGTTTATGTGAATTATTTTTGCTTATTAGTTACTAAAATACCTTTACAAGATCATAAAGCACGACACAAGTATAAATGTAAGGATATCATGTAGACAGCTACAAAGCTATTAAAGAAAATATTTAAATCTTAACATATTTTCATTGCTTTCCTTTAGATCATGCATTTTAAAGATAAAGAGGTTTCAAATGTAGTATTTTACAATCAAAGTGAAGTCCAGTGGACCAATGCGACCTTATTCAGGCTACAGATATTCTAGACGTTTCTGAAAAGGGGGCTGGTCTGTTTCTGGCGCAGTGAGCAGGAATGGCAGCCGGGAAAACTTAAAAACGTTGGGCTGAAGCCAGTAATAGCCGTAAGTATCAAACGTTTTGGAGTCGGTAATAGAGTAAATAAAGCGATCGGATGATTTTATTGCCTTTTTCCCCTCCCAATCACAGTGACTCTCTGGTACCGTTACGTTCTTCCCTCATCAGCGGAGAAACTGGATACTTGACGATAAGAGTCGTATTACACATTAACTAATATAAACATCGTTCACAACTTTCCTTACAAACATGAATCTGTTCACAATAAAAGTTCGTCTTTACCAGAAGCTGCTGGAGACAGAAGGATAAACAGGAACACGAACTTATCCATGAGAGAGGAGGCGAAGTGCGTCTGCTGCCGTCAAGTTACCTGTTACTTCTGTGCAGATCACAAACTCAGACCCTTGGTGGGGGGCGGGGCTAACTATTGCATTATACCGCGTCCTGTGTAGAAAGTATAATCTGCGGTCTAAAAGGAAATAGATGTCTTTGGGTCATGTCCAATAAACCGGGTTACTGGTGTCTGAGCGGGATCAGGATCCGCCCGCGCGTCTCCGCCGCCATCTTTGCGCGTCTCCGCCGCCATCTTTAAGCACAAAACCCCGCAGAGAAAAGATCCAGACTGGGAGGAAACTCCTTTACGTTGCTGTCGTCGCCGCGAGGTGTAAATTAACCACACCTGTGTCTGTTGTTGTCGTTTTAAAACATTTCATAAATCACTTCTTATTCTTATTCTTCGGTGTCGGTGCGGTCGCGCAGGGAATATATGCACAGTTATATCCCTACCAGAATAAAAGCACGGTAGTTTGTTGCAGAAAGGAAAGAAAGTCAGACTCATAAATCTTGAGTGGACTCACTCAGAACTTTTTCTGCACACAGAAACCAGGTGGAAGAAGTATTTCAAATCTTCAGAGTATCACGGTGTGAAAATACTGCACTGCAAGTAAAAGTCCTGCAGTCAAATCTCATATAGAAAGTAGCCTGTCACTGTCAGTGACCTGAGCTTTAAACAGCGTCACAGTGGAGGTGCTCATGCTGCAGTAAAAAGTTTCTATCTGGATTAATATTCATATTTTTCTGCTGCAGATGTTAGAACTTTTTAGATCCTGTTAAAGTTTGGAACTCGTGTTTTTCTGTTGTGAACCAGTTATATTTCTCTTTGATGACCCCCTGACCTCCCTGGCTTATTTCTGACTCAATAGCTGGACAGAAGATGTTGTATACCTGCAGATCGTCCATGATTATGAATAAAGATTAATTTAAAACAAACACAAAAAAAACACGTCTTCTTCTTTGAGGTTTTATGGTGGTTGGTTTAAATCTTTCCCTCAGCGTAATATCTATCTCTTCTCCTGAAATGTCCACAATGTCCAAGAATCTGCTTGCAGCATCCAACAACATCTTAATCCTCTCTGACTTGCTCTTTATTTCAACAGCACAATTTAGCACCATGGCAATGAATACCAGAAATCGCTTCTTGTCCATACAGACTGTCCCGTAATAATATATACATAAAGAAAAGATGTGGAAAGTAAGAGCAACAGTGGTCTCAGTGGTGATCGGAGCACCAGGGGGCTGTGACCTCCAAACTGGGAGAGTGGCTGCAGCAGATTCCAGGTAAAACATCAGAGGTCTCTGTCCAGAAGAGTGCAGTCCTATGAACAGATAAGATACTGCGCAGAACCCTCAAACTCCCAGGCCTCTGGTCCAGGACCCGAGCTTGAGGATGACACATACCACCTCACAAGGGGTGAGAGGGGGGTTGAATTTATACATACAGGCTATTTTATATTTTTCTCCTTCTACCATCATATTATTTCAAGCCTCTATGTTTCACAAACTGGAATGACTGACTGGTTGTGAATCAATTCCAATAAAGTTGATTTAAAAAACAAAACAAAATTGGCATACAAAAAGAGACGGGGCAAGAACAGAACAAATAAAATGCAAATACAAAACAATAAAACAAAAGGAGCAGAAAACCCGTTGTATGAGGGAGATATAAGTTAATAAATAGCCTATAAATAAAGCCTTTTTTTACTGAGTAATTTACAGACTATATATTTAAGGGTTTTGATAGTTCTTTTCAAATGAAAACTGAATTTGAAGTGTTTCGGTCTTATGGATATAAAATTTGGACCAGAGATCAGTACTTTTCTGATTTGGCGCCTATTACACATAAAAATATATTTCCCACCAAATGAGAGCTCGAGGATCTCTCGATTGAAAGAACATATAACAACACACTTAGTAACTTTGGAGATATGCTTTTTATAACATATATTCTTCGAGAGGTATCCAAGCACTTATTACTGGCAAGATACTCATATTCACAGAATTGACCTCTGTCAGTAAGTACATCTAAAACAAACATCACATCCTTATCAATCTGTAGGTTTCCTCTGAATGAAGCCCTAGCTTGACGCTCCATCCATCCCCTCGTCCGAATCCACATCAACAAATCCAGAGGACCACAAGTAAAAAATACATCCGTTTACTCAGATAGCAAGAAAACATCAGTACAGAAAAATTACAGAAATTAGATTTTTAATTAACAAGAGAAAAATAGGAAGAGAGAGAGGAGGTCTAAAAACTATGTGGCTCCACTCTCTGACTGTCCACTAACTTCCCAATCTTTCTCCTGAGAGTTTTCCCAAGCAATTAAAGGTGAATGCTGTAAAAAGGAAAAGACGGTAACTGCCCTCGATTGCCCAGATATTACCAATGTAATATAAATGCTCTCTAAATTATCTACACACATTTTAAGTGCAAGTAATCAAACAATTAACTCCTTGCATTACTGTAAATATTAACTGGAAATACATGTTTTACCGTGCACTATTACTAAAGTGACATTTGAAAGGAGTTCAGGTACTGAAATCTGAATCAACAGTTCACGTAACCTAGAGTTTATTGTGACAGTAGAAAAATACAAAAAAAAACAGCTTTTAAAATAAAATCTATCAATCTATCTATATAAAATCGTCTGACCCGTCTAAGTAAAGGTAATACATAATAACTGAGTTAAATAACTTGGCAAGTTGGGAATTAAATATAAACCTGTCACTTACAGTCGATGCCTGTCGAGCTTTCAGTGACTATACCAATTACCTGCATTTCAATTATTAATAACGCTGTGTGAAAGATTTCTTTCTATCATTTTCACTAAAACTTACACATTTACGGATGAGCTGATGACAACAGTTCAGTATATTTACCTCATTAATAACAATTTCCCCTGGCGGAAGATTGCAGTTAATATTCCTCTTATATTATTAATAATAATACTTAAATATTATAGACATATCATTGTTAATAAAATATTAAATATCAATAGGTGTTGTGAAGTGACTTAATTCATAATAACTGTGAAACCATTATTATTCCTCAGACTATAATCGTACCAACAATCTGTAATCGTTGCATCCCTACATGTGCTCAGGTGAAACGAATCTGTGACAAGCTGACCTCTTCTTCAGCAGCAGACTGTTCTGGTTTCTTGTCCTTATGTCTTTTATATTTCCAGCCAACAGCCAATCCAACAGCAGCTAAACAAACCAGAACAAAACCTGCTACAGATCCGTAGTAATGTCTGTAGTTTCCCTCCTCGACGTCGCCGCTGTTGGACCCTGAAGATCAAAGTGCATATTAGTCAGGAAATGAGTGAACAGTGGAACAGCCTCCATTTACTCTTCTATATCTTCTATATTCCTCATGTTTGACTCTCAGAAACAACATGGAATAAAGTGCAGCTACAACATGGCACACAGACACACTGACCTCCACAAACTCACCTGAAACCTCCAGCTGGATGATTCTGATTGGCTCAGTCTCAATGATGGCTCTCTTACGTCTTGATCCTCCTGTTGCAACTCGACACTCGTATGTTCCAGCGTCGTTGCTGTTCACGTTCTTCAGAATTAAAGACACGTCTCCGTCCTTCAGCTCTCTGTCCACCAGCTGCACCCGGTCCTTAAAGGATGGATGCTGCTGGGTTGGATCTGAGAGTCCATCTCTGTGAAAGACGACGTAGTCTGGTTCCAGGTCAGGTCTGCTCCACTCTACAGCTCTGATGGAGACATCTCCAGCCTGACATGGCAGAATGACATCATCTCCAGGTTTCACTCGTACCACATCTAAAAACATCACAGAGAAAAAGTAATTACATTTCTTTGCTTCAACAGAAGAACCTGAGATCACGGGAACTAGAGGTGTGAATCTTCAGACGCGTCACGAACCGATTACGATTCAGAGGGCTGCGGCGTGAATATAAAATGTTTAGTGTTTATTTTCTATACAGGATTTATTTTTTCTCACTGTGTGACTTAGTAATGTTACAGCAAAGTTATGACATGTGGCTACTTTCTAACGTTACTTGCTATAAATGCAGCGAACGTTACAAAGCTGCTAAAGTACGTAGTGTTGGTGTCCTGCTCAGCTTCCAGACCAGAGTCTGATAAGTCTTAAGATAGGCTCAGAAAAACTCAAGAATTTAAATTAACTTGACCAAAATAACTTAATTATTAATCACAATGATACGAATCTACGAATACAGACTAATGTGAGAATAACTATGCACATGTTTGAAACTTCAATGATTCCATGATGCGAACTTTACAAAAGGTTTTCAATTATTCACATTATAAAACACAAAAGCTACATTTTGATGTTCATAATTAACATTTATGTATAGGCCTTAAATATATTTTTAGCAGTTAGGCTAACACCATTCATAGTTTGTGAATTATTTCTGCTTATTAGTTGCTAAAATACCTTTTTTTATGTGTATGTGTTTAAAATTTTGTTTTCCTGAGCCACCTTTTGTTTGCATTCTTTCATTGATAAAACCACATTATTTGCACAGAAAGTCATCTGGAGGATTTTATTTTTATTGAATCTTGAATTAATCTCATACAGAAATCTTTAGCGAAAACAACGACAAGATAATATAGCATGACACAACTATAAACATTTAAGGGTATCATGTAATTTGAAACAAATATTTAAATCCTTACACATTTTAAATGCTTTTATTGCTTTATTAATCTTTAAACTATATAAAGTTTCTATATAATATTTCATTTCGATCATAAAATGTGGTTTCTACTAAAATTTTTCATATAAAATAAAGAGTGAAAAATATATTCTTTTAAATCAATGTCACTCTTGTCATAAAAAATGTCTCTTTTCCAGAAAAATAGTTGAACCAGTCAATTAGGGCTGTACATATCGATTATTTTTCAAGTCGATTAATCTAACGATAATTTATTCAATTAGTCGATTAGTCTAACGACTAATTTTGTTTATTCTAAAGAAAGAAAAGTTGCCTATTACTTAATTAACATACCAATTTATCCTAAATAAACATCACAAACATGTCTAATCAATAAATCTATATTCAAATCTTAATCGATTACGTCGACAAATCGCCCCAGCCCTACAGTCGCCGTCTTAAATATTCTAAATGTAACCTAAATTATTACAATCTTAAAATAAATGACAATGTTTCAGCCTCATCACTGCAAAACACACTTTTCCACAGAATCAGGCCTGAGAAATCAAATTAACAATTTTAAATAAAGCTTTTCTAGTTTTGTTGGTGACACAATATTTCTTATTGATATTTCAAACTGATTTCCATTTAATATTTTGTATTCTAGAGTTACAAAATTGCTTGGCAGGATGAGTTGTGGACTCCTGGCAAAGTCTCCTTAGAAACTTATTGGTAGATTTTTACACCTGTGAAGCATACACTGTTAATGACGTTACCTTTAAGTTGTGGATGCATGTCAAACCTACCACTTCCTTGAAGTAATCTCAAAAGAACAAAAGGTAATGCATCAAAAACAATTCCAAAATCTCAGTGTGTAGCTGGAATTGTGTTGCCTATTTCAGTGTAAGATACACAAATACAGTGTAAGAAAATAAGAGTCATAAGACTTTTCATTTAGCAATTGTGTCACCAAAACAATATCACTTTTTAACCCAGCTATCAAAGAAATAGTTTTACTTTTAAAACTAATATCTTTATTACTTCAAAATTAAACAATTAACAAGGATAATAATGCTTGTTTATAATAGTTGAACAGAGAAACAGGGATTTTATACTGGCTACCGTCCAGGAAGACGATGTCTTAACCATCGGCAGCAGAGTCAGTAAAGTTTGATTTGTTTGTTGGATTTTGTTCTCAATGTTGTGATGCTATTGGGGAAATCCTTTATACATAAATGTAGGTTCTTTAAGACTAAACCTGCTTGAACCACTGGAAGAATGAGCTATAATGCATGAATCACTGAAACATGTCAAAAACAAGAAAGCTCTTAAAATGGTTTCATTATTATTATGACTCTTACAAATAGCCAACTATTGCTGACACAATTAACCCATAATAATAATCAGGAACTGAAACGGCGTTACTTTCATTTTAACTCGGTATATCCTTTAAGCAAAAACAGCAAACCAATACTTTAGTAGTAACTGTAGGCTGAACATGAAATAGTATGTCAGCCTATATGCACACAGTTCAAGCCAATAAGAAAGTGGAACAGTTATAGTATATAGAAAATGTAAACATTGTGCTATGAATTTGTACCTGATGTCAACTGGCACAATGATATACACATGTTCACCATACCGGCAGGTCGACAGAGGCATCATGTTCAGTTGAGATGATCTGTCTCATGTACATTCTGTGAGAATATTGTTCTTGACACAGGTCATCGCTTTGTCCGGGTCAGTGAACTCCCTGTCCTCCCCTCTGTACGTGACCTCTGTGAATGCAGCCCGAGCTTTAGTCACAGTTGTCGTGTATTCCGGGAAGATGGTAACTGGTTCCCCGTTGAAACGGAGCGGACCGCGAGTGCGGGCGCGTCGCAGTATCTGGACACAATCTTGGTAATAATGAAGCTTAGTTGGTACTTGGTAATTTCTTCAGCCTCGTGTCCATCCGGGCACCACCGTGGACTTGTCCCACTATCCGATGAAGTTTAGTAATAGTTTACTGTTGTATGGGAAGTATTACACTTTACGGTTGAAATAGAGGCTTAAAGGGAGCACATGTCGCTCTATCTAGGTCTATTGTTTCACTTTTGCGGCAGAGCCACGCCCCCAAAGCGCAACGCATACAACATTATACAGTTTAATGACGTAGACATAAGGGGATTGTTAGTCAACATTGTAACGGGAAACTAGCAGGGCAATTACTTAACGCTAAATAGCATATAGAAGAATAGACTTTATGTCTATTAACTGTTTAAATAACAGCGTGTTAAATATCTCACTGCTCCAAAACAGCTGATTCAAACTATCAACTCGTTGTGAATCCTGAAGCTGCTTCAATCAGCTGTGCTGAAGCAGGGAGAGAATAAATTATGCAGGACAGGGGGAAACTTTCTTCAGGAAAGGGTACGAAACACTGTCGTAGTACATAAACTTCAACCAAGATCAATTCGTACAGCCAGCAAAGTCTTTGCACACTGAAAAGCTACACGATATCATTTTATCTTCTTTTGGACAACTGTAGCTACATACATCTACATACATACGTCTATGAGTAGCTTACATTATGCAAAGGAGGAAAAAAGCTAATCCTGCTACTTCAGGAGCCCAAGGCCCCGTTACAAACACATGTAGGACAAGATGACAGTATTTTATAAAAATAATCTTTCCTGCCTCCATGAATCAATAAAAGCTCGTATTTACCAGAAGCTGCTGGAGACAGAAGGACCAACAGGAACACAAACTTCTCCATGAGAGAGGAGGTGAAGTCTGTCTGCTGCTTTCAAGTTACCTGCTCTTTCTCTGACAGTGGGGAGGGGAGCTGCAGAGGAACTGCTGCACTGCCTCCTCACTGTTGCGACACTGTTGGGTGGCGCCCACAGTCTTTGCTGTGTGCTGGCAGAAGTCCAGGCAGGAAGGTCTAAGGTTAAGTTAACATTACTGAAAATGTGGTGGAAAATAACTCTTCACAACTTGATTATGTGTTTAATCTTTTGTTTGCACAAACAGCAGCTATAAACCCTTTAGGCCTCAGCCTCCTTTTGAAACTGCCTGCTATAAATCTGCGGTATAAAAGAGAATAAATGTTGTATTTGTGTCATGGCCGGTCACTAAACTGACTTCCTCACCCTCATATTGTCCCGTCAGGTAGAAACTGTTGCTTTCTGGGGAAGAAACTGCTTCTTAGCGATATCCGGAGTCCTCTACAGTCTGCGCCTCCGCCATGATCCAGCATAGAAAATCCAACAGAGAACAACAGATCCAGACAACAGACCCGCTGCTGCTGATCCTCCTGCTCCTCCTGCTGCTCCATCTGTATAATATAACCAGTCTGTAATGTGCCTGCTGTCTTTTTTTGTTTTTGTTGAAATCTTTAGGGATGGGACGCTCGATACTGACGTGTCCACGCTGCGTTGAGGTCGGTCGAGATCCTGAAGCGCGGTGAGGTGTGGTTTACGTCAATGCCACGTGACCGCAGTGAAGCGAGGCTCCGGTGCGTTTCAGCCCTGTTTCGACAGGTGGCGCATCTGCCGCTTCTGCTCTTGATTCACAGTGGTTTTAAAAAACCACACATCAGCCTCTAACTCATTTCACAGATTCCTTTGATTTATTGGAGCGACGTGTTGTAGTTATATCCGCACCTGTAGGCCTATGATGGCAAAAAATACTTATCTTTGCCAGCAACAAAAGCTCCATGTGACCAAAACTTTTCCAAGGCTGGTGATGTCAATTATGAAAAGGCCTCAAAACAGCTGAATATTTCTGAATAAAACTCTTGACATATAACAAATGTGAGACATTGTTCCACTTTTCTTTGATCAGTCTTGAAACAACTTCAACTTTACTCAGTTACTACTGGAAATAAATAAAACACTATTAGAAAATAAGGACTTTAAAAATAAAGCCCAAAAAATAATTGAGAAATATTGGAGACAAGCAAATTTATTTAACGAGTTTGGAAAATGCTGGGAATTGATGAAATACGAATTTAGAATTTTTGCGTTGTCATTTGGGAAACGGTTTGCTAAAGCAAATAAAGAAAGATAGACCCGGATAATTACAAATATAATAAGATTATTAGAGAAAGTACATTTATCTGGAGAAGAACTGCAAGAACTGTCATCTCTACAACTTGAATTGAACAAAATATATGAAGAAAAGGCCAGAGGTGCCTTTGTCAGATCCAGAAGAAAGTGTCTAGAACAAGGTGAAAAATGCACTAAATACTTTTTTAATCTAGAAAAGAGAAACTATGAACAATCATCACTTTGTAAACTATAGTTGTGGATTTTATCATGGCTGCAACTTCGGCCCAAGCCACATTGCCCCATGTAAGCAGCTTGTCTCTCTGTTTTGAAAATAAACATATTTCACTAAATTTAAATGTAAAACTACATTATTATTATTATTAAAAAGGGTGTATTAAAAGAAATGGATTTGTTCTAGTATAAACAAATCACCAATCAACATAGGCCAACATTCTTTGTATAAAATATCTGTTTACATGTGTTTAACAGAAAGTGTGAATATTTTATAGGCCTAAGTCTGCAAAAGTAAAGTTCCTTTCATTGTCAGTTTGTCTGTACAGTGGATTTAAAGTAGTTGATGGCATAAGACCCAGCAAAACCAAAGAGAATGACTAGTTCACTTGTGAAAAGCAATTTTATGAAGTTAGAACAGATAACTTAGCAGAGGATGCCTGACATCTAAAATCATTTGAACCATTTAAAAACTCTTTGAGGTAGCCTCGGCTTTTACTTGAGATGCAGGGGCTTAATATGACTTATTTTTCAGTGTTACAATTAGTAACAGTAAGTCAGCCTGCCCAGTGACGACAGACTCCCAGGAGGACCCATGTGAACGAGTTTTCCTACTGAACACTACATCAGTGCGGTCGCAGCTCCCAGATACCAGTAGACTGTCTTCGACTTGACGGCGCCGTTTTTGTTCCTCGCCCCTGCGCTTCACGTGAAACTATCAAATCGACGAAAAAGCCGCCGTCATCTCGAACGCATCTACTGGTCCATCTGGGTACAAGTTAAAGAAGATTAAGTTATATTTCAAGAGCCGTAAAATATTTGAGGCCTTGACGCGGAGCTAATGAGGCTAAAAGCTGAAATCGACAAAAGTTGAATATAAACTCGGGATGGTTTATCTGTTCGTTTTCCTGTTGGCCCGTCTGTCTCCAGCATCTTCAGGTAAAGACACGTTTTTTTTAAATCAGTGTTATAAAACAATATGTTTTTGGCGGTAGTTATCCCCGACAGAAAGTTTTTTAGTTTTAGTTTCACTTGTAAAGCAAACATTTATTTCTCGATAGTCTGGTGATGTTATAACTGACCACGTAGTCGATCATTTTGTCATCCATGTTACTGTTTAGAAGAAGCTAGATTCAGACAGACTGTCACGGTTTTCAACCGCGGTGAAATTAGTTTTAAGTTGGATATTCGACAGACATTCACCCAGGATCCAGTGACGGCTTTTTAGTCAGTTCACCCAGTGACGGTTGTATAAGTGCGGTTAGCTCACCTCTGATGGCTCGCTTTTAACCAACGGGGGTTAGCTTAGGGACCATCAATAAATTACAATTGTGAGAACAGTGTTATGGGAAAATCATTATTTATTTCAATAGCTTCCAAGTCATGTGACACAGGGACTTCAAACCAATGCCGAATTGTAGTACTAGACTAGACAAATGAGACACACCCCTTCATATTTGATTTGAGTGCATTTTTTATTTTATATGAATATTTATTCATAATTTATTGAAAATTGTGCTGTTTTTTTTCAATAGCTTCCAATTCATGTGACACAGGGACTTCAAACCAATGCCGAATTGTAGTATATACTAGGCAAATGAGACACACCCCTTCATATTTGATTTGAGTGCATTTTTATTTTATATGAATATTTATTCATAATTTATTGAAAAAAGTGCTGTTTTTTTTCAATAGCTTCCAAGTCATGTGACACAGGGATTTCAAACCAATGCCGAATTGTAGTACTATACTAGGCAAATGAGACACACCCCTTCATATTTGATTTGAGTACATATTCGAATTTATATGAATATTTATTCATAATTTATGTAAAATAATGCCTTTTTTTTCAATAGCGTCCAAGTCATGTGACACAGGGACTTCAAACCAATGCCGAATTGTAGTACTAGACTAGGCAAATGAGACACACCCCTTCATATTTGATTTGAGTACATATTAAAATTTATATTAATATTTATTCATAATTTATTGAAAAAAAGTGCTGTTTTTTTTCAATAGCTTCCAAGTCATGTGACACAGGGATTTCAAACCAATGCCGAATTGTAGTACTATACTAGGCAAATGAGACACCCCTTCATATTTGATTTGAGTACATATTCGAATTTATATTAATATTTATTCATAATTTATTGAAAAAAGTGCTGTTTTTTTCAATAGCTTCCAAGTCATGTGACACAGGGACTTCAAACCAATTCCGAATTGTAGTACTACTGCTGATGAGAAAGAAACTAATACTCGTTCACACACACTCACACAACAATGGCACAGCCTTCTGAGCAAATACAGAGGGGGCATATATCTTCCATGTAGTGGACAACCGCTCTACATCTAAGCAACAGACATTGAAATATATATATATATATATATAATATGTTACGAAAGATTTATTTTAATTCCACAGGTCCAGTGTGATGGTTGTGAACGGTGGTTCCATGCTCAGTGTGTGGAATGGACAGCACACAATATGAAGAGGCAATGAAAGGAAACTGGGAATGTCCGTTGTGTAAATAAAGTGTTTCTTTGAAATCTGCTCAATGCTGTGGAAGAAAATGACTGACTCTGTGTGGTACAACTGCAGTTGTACAAGAGGTGTGTAATATGTGTAACAGGTAGTAGTACTATTCGGCATTGGTTTTGAGTCCCTGAATCATTTGAAATGGAATCTATTGAAGAAAAAAATATAAAAAAATATTCATATAAAATAAAAAATGCACTCAAATCAAATATGAAGTGGTGTGTCTCATTTGCCTAGTATAGTACTACAATTCGGTATTGGTTTGAAGTCCCTGTGTCACATGACTTGGAAGCTATTGAAAAAAAACAGCACTTTTTCAATAAATTATGAATAATATTAATATAAATTTTAATATGCACTCAAATCAAATATGAAGTGGTGTGTCTCATTTGCCTAGTCTAGTAATACAATTCGGCATTGGTTTGAAATCCCTGTGTCACATGACTTGGAAGCTATTGAAAAAAAACAGCACTTTTTTTTTCGAATATGTACTCAAATCAAATATGAAGGGGTGTGTCTCATTTGCCTAGTATAGTACTACAATTCGGCATTGGTTTGAAATCCCTGTGTCACATGACTTGGAAGCTATTGAAAAAAAACAGCACTTTTTTCAATAAATTATGAATAAATATTCATATAAAATAAAAAATGCACTCAAATCAAATATGAAGGGGGTGTGTCTTTGCCTAGTCTAGTACTACAATTCGGCATTGGTTTGAAGTCCCTGTGTCACATGAATTGGAAGCTATTGAAAAAAACAGCACTTTTTTCAATAAATTATGAATAAATATTAATATAAATTCGAATATGTACTCAAATCAAATATGAAGGGGTGTGTCTCATTTGCCTAGTATAGTACTACAATTCGGCATTGGT